GTAGAATATATTGGTTGGTGGTGGTGGTTGTTTCTATATTTTTACAACAAAGACAAAGCTTGCGCCTTTAAGAATGCCTTGCAGAGCCTGCAGTATTCTTTAAAATCTGCGCAATTCCTTATATTTGCTGGCAATTCATTGAAAATCATAGCTGCTGAATGCTGAAAGGTGCCTTGTACAAATGGAACAGAAAGCCTTGGAGCAACACTGGAACAGAGATGTCTAACGGGTTTAATGACTTGCAAATTTAAATGGGAGGGCCAGTTATCAGAATACAGTGCTTTAAAAATAGTCTTTAGTAGTGAGTAGTCCCTTAGCTCCAGGATAGGTAGCCAGCCAAGATCCAAAAATGTTTACATATTTACAAGTGATGAAACTAGCCATAGCAAACTGGAGCCTTTGTAGTCTAGCTGAGAGGAATGTTTCTACCAAATGTTTCCGTACTTTAAAATTAGTGAAGTTCCTTATTTTTCTTAAGGTTCTCAGAGTTGCATAACAAGATTTAAGAATAGAACTGATATGAAATTCCCATTTAAGATTTGAGTCAGTGTGTACTCCCAGGAGTTTTGTAACATTCATATGTTCCAGTGGTTTACCAGAGATTTCTAATCCCATCTCCAGATTTCTGAGATAATGTATATGAACCATTTGTGGAGTTGAGATAAGAATGCCCTTAGTTTTCTTAGAATTCAGGGCCAGGTTTGAATCATTTGACTAGGTGCCGAGGCCTGCCAGGGTTGCATTCATGCTTTCTGCTTGAGATGTACTCTGGGGTGTAGAACAGCTAGAGTATAATGCAGTATCATCAGCATATTGGAAACTTTTGATTGTAGGTGGAAGAATATCTTGGAGATCTGTGACATAGAGATTGAACAACATCGGTCCAAGGATTGAGCCTTAGGGGTTTCCAAATTCGGAGAGCAAGGGTGACGATTGCGATCATCAATTTGAATGTAATGTCTCCTGACACATAGGTAATTAGCCAACCAATGAATTAACATCAAGTCATAATTTTGCAACTTCTTAAAAACACATTATGGATTGATAAGCCAAAATGTTCACAACTAAGGACCTCCATCAGATTTCTTGTACATACTACCAAGTTCACAAGACAGACAATAGAGTCACCCATACTGGAAAGTCCCTGAGCTTATTTGAGTTTGTGTTGGTAGGTATGTTAATCATTACTTAATTATAATTAATTGTACTTTTCCTTTGGAGCTCTTCAGTACAACACTAACACCAAAAATAGTGGCCAAGAGGGACACACTAAAACATTTTTTGAGCTCCTGTTTCAATCCAGACTTGAGGCTCACTTGTACGGATCGATACAGAACTGCTTTACAATCAGCTTTACAATTTGCTTTACAATCTTCAAAACAAAACATGAAACAATTTTTTATTAAAACTTGCTCGAGATGAATACCAGTCATGTGAGATCATGTTATTAAGTTTATCAAGATGAAGCCATCCTTCTTTGCCAATAAGTTTCATTCACTCTTCTCTAAACCACAGGCACCAACTGCAACTACCCCAGCAACTCACATGGGTGAGTTAAATCAATCACAAGATGAACACAGGGAATGACAACTTTCTCTTCACTGTTCATTGATGAATTCTCAGAAATGGTACAAAGTAAAAATAAAATGCACTGATTTCACTTTGAAATTTACCGTTATGTTAATTGGTGTCAACATAATGTAAGGCAAAGAATGAGAAGAGCCGTGCCAAAAAAATTCACAACCCAAATAAGCATGTTCTTAAAAAGTGCAAAAAAGTAATTATTCAAAGTGCAAAAATCAATACCAAAAGTTGTTTCATATATTCTTCAAAGCTTCATGCATACTTAATCAGGAAAAGCAGTGTGAACTGTAGGTTCAATCATGAATTCTTTGAAATTTCTGATCATACTGTCAACAAAGAATCAAATTTTATTTCTTGATATTTCAGGATTTGATTTCATTCTCAATTTTAGTACAATGTTCTATTGTCCTCATGTCATTCAGCATGAGAGGCACTTCATCAAGACAGGATGTACCATCATCAACTTGTATCTCAGATTATAACAATACTCAGTTTCAGTTAAGAATAAGTATTTGGCTATTTATGTTTCTATCTCATTTTGAAATAAAGTTATTTTGTGTTAACTTAATTTTTTCTGTGAATGTGGCAATACCAAGATAACCACACAACATTCCACCCTGCTTTTCTAATCCTCACACACTATCCGTTTTTTAAGAAGCAAGGGGATGCTCATGGGATTTAATGGGGGAAGGCATGCTAAAATAATTGGGCTTCAAAGAACAGGGAGGTCAGCCAAAATTTAGGCTCTGAATGGGAGTTCACTCTCTAATAATCACTAAATAGTGTACTTCTAATGGAAAAAAAAACTTTTCAATCCATTACTGCCATGTTGCTGTACAAAGAACGCTTCAGAACATTATATGACTTTTTCTTTTCTCAAAATATAGCCTTGTTTTGTTTTGATTGCGTGATTATAAAATATCCTTTTTTGCCTAGCCACACAAAGAGTTGTTTCAGTTTTATTAGTTCCCTTTACATCATAGAGGTATATTAGGCCTTTTTTCATGCAAACATTTTAGTTTTAAGGAGTTGTCCCTGGAGCAAAGAGGAGTTCTATAGGAGTCTTTCCGAGTTTTTTCTTTCTGAGTATTCTCATCCCCGGAGCCAAGATCAGACATAAGTCATGATCATTAATTGTGTTTTCTGTCGTCAGATTTGTAGTTTAGTTCGTTTCCTGAGCTTAGACAAATATTAATCCTGCATTCCTTTTAGTTTTTGCCGCAAGTGTTGTAACAAGCCAGCTAGCCTGATTACATGATTTAGTTCAATCATGACAGGACGGAAAACATGTGCACTGTAAGTACCTCTTGTCCTCCCATACAAAGCCTTAGAAAAGTTTTCTAAGGCTTTGTATGAGACAACGGCAGGTACTTACAGTGTACACTTTTTCCGTCCTGTCATGAACATGTGTTAGAGTGTGCTGGCCATCCGGTACTTCACTGTGGTTGACCTGGTGAACCCAATTATATTGCACCCCATGTCTGCCGTGCTGGGAACGCAACAATTACCCCCAAAATAGCATTTCTGACTATCTGAAAATTAAAATTTTCCTAAGGGAGCAGGCCCATGGCCTCCCCCCATTACCCCCCTACTTTGTTATTTGAATACAGTTAACTCACATTATTATAATGCTCATTCTTAAAAAAATATCAGTACCACATTATATTATCAATAACAACCTTTTTTTTCCCTTTTGTTGTGATGACCAACAATAGCATTTACTATCATGAAAAATTTCCATCACCGTTACATGAATGAGCTGGCATTAATAGCCCTTTGATTTTCCTTCTAAGGAAACTCAGATTTTTAAAACCTTCTATCCCTGATACACACCCACCCATGGTAATGCGCGCGCACAGGTTTGAACTTTCCACGGAAAATAGAGGAAACGATGTCGAAACAGAAGGCACCCCCGAATAAACTCCGTTTAGGAAACAAGGAGAAGCCAGACGTTTTTCTTTTCCTATGCAAATTAAAATTTCAGATAAGAAAGGAGTTCCACTATGGCCAATCAAAAAAATGCTCTTACTGTTCAAATTATTCGTTAGCTTCTTTAAACTCGCTTCTGAGATATTTCCAGTGCGATTCACTCAAAGGATCAGTGACATTGGACGGAATTTCAACATAATCCCAAATGAAATAGGGGAAACTCTTAATGTTGCATTTTTTTGCGGTATGATAAAAGCGATTTGTTTCCTTCTTTTATGCTTTCGCGTTCGACCAATCTCCATCAACAGGATACAACCAGCGTTCTTTGTGGGCAAACACCAAATTGAATGGGATGACTTGCTTGCGTTGACAGAACTCGATTTCGCATGATTCACAGGTCCTGGCTTCAAAGTTCAAAATAGTACCCTTTTTCAGAGTCATGCCTGTGAAACCAGAAAGTTCTATGTGAATTATGCTGTGGCTGTCAATTCACACTGCTACTCTGTAATAAAATCACGTAGTTATTGAAATTGAAACACCTTATCTAATGTTATTCAGTATGGCCAAAGACTATATGAAAATTCATCTTTAACTTTAACAATGAAGTATTCACCATCAGATGATTTGCCAAAAACTGTTGATGTTTGTGGAACTGAAGTAAGGTTAGATCTTAAAAGTGTGTATTGTCTGATTCAGTTGACAGCAAATCAATTCTTGAAAATCTTGTGAGAAATAATGGTGAGTGCATAGGGTTTTTGATGTGGTTTTCTGTTTTTTGTATGACATGTATTTTTAAACCCACAAAAAGGTCAAAATATGTGTATTCCCTCTTGGTAATTAATGAAAGTCAAATGCCTCTAAATGAATTTACTAAAACTGTAAATAGCACTGCTTCTCTTGTTGCAGCCATCAACAATGTTCAATATTCAGAGATTTTTCTGTTAAAAACAATATGAACCACTGCACAGTAATATTGCTTCAATCTACTGATTTCTGACAACTCCCTCTGGGTGATCGTTTGGCAACAAACTATGAATCGGTACCAATGATAGATTAAAAATTCCCTTCTCTTGCCAGTTAAAGGCAAATACATAACCTACTCAAGGTTTGTAAAAGCCTTGAAAGTACTCGAAGGTGCTTGAATTTAAAAATAAAAAATTCAAGGCCTTAAAAGTACTTGAATTTGAGGACCAGGGCTTGATTTTTGCAATGCTTTTTCTTTAGCAATTTTCAAGTTGAAAATTACAATACTTTCATGCAAAAGCTGAGAAATAATATTWAATGATTTTAAAATTGTTTATGCAAACCTTTCCAAAAGTGGTCCTTCAATTTTCTAAAACTTGGCCTTCAAAGTCATTGAAAAGTCCTTGAATTTCAACCTTTGGAATCTGTAGTAACCTACTCCTACATAGAAATATATTATTTTGATTGTTGTCCAGTACTATAACAACATTCATTACACTCCAGCAAACAAAAATAAACACAAGTAGACTTATTCATGACCGGCAAAGACGGAATTGCGTGACGACAGTAACAATGGCGATCTGGCACAGTCTCTTGAAGATAATTTCAGATGCGTGGTATTGAAAGCCCGAGTTCACGCAGCTATGCGTCCAGTTGGATTAATTGTTAACGAGAATTTTTAACAAACAGTTGCGACAGACAAATCGCTGCCCCCTGAGTGTTGGGACAGAAACCTTTCTCCGATGATAAGATCTGATATGTTTTCTTTCTAAATAGGCCCTGTTTATACTATGTAAATTCAATTCGTAGCTATGTTTATTCAAGCATTTACCTAAGGACGGGCATCCCAGAAAAAAAATGTAGGGTTCATCTTCAGGGGCCGTGTTGTTTTTTACACTCCTTTAGTGTCTAGGAGTCGTTAAAAGCAGTTTCCAGCCGAATCCGAATGATTTTGATGGGGGTCTTCGTTTTCTACACACCGCAATTGGCCATTCCAAGAAATCATCATGATCGCCTTGCATCAAATGAATGAGCAATGCCATGTGTTTGCCAACACCATCATCCATGCCATTCATGTTAATTCGCATGCACAAGTTGTAACCAAGGTACAGACTCGTGTAAAATGAAGGGCTATACTTTGCTGTGCAAGATCCACTGATGGCATCTTGAAAACAATCTCTGAACTTTTCTATTCTCAAGGTATATATTCCATCGCAAAAACGTCCTGCTTGCTTCCTCAACCTGTAATTTTCATTGGGGCAGTGAGGTTATTGTGGTTCATTGGTAAAAACAATTTCAGAGTCAAGGTCATATTGTGAATTTAAAAGTAGCACCAGGAATACAAAATTCAGGCTGAGATTGCTTCCACCTTATCTATGTTAACTTTATTTTACGTCAGTCCTACTTGTACCAAAAGTAAAATGAGTTTTGTTTCCATTGGTAAGGAAGGGCAGTCTTGGAAAATATTGAAAGATGATTTGACCTTTTTAACTTCCAAATAGAAATCATCGGTACTCCAGGTCTCACAAAACTCACTTGATCATTTGCAGTGCCATCCCAAGTCTCATTTGTGCTTCCTTTGTCTTCCTAAGTTGATGTTTCAGATGATACACTTCATTACTGAGCAAAGTAACACGATTCTTCAGTTCCTCTATTTCTTTTTGTTGCTGTTGAATTAACATTCCTTCCTGGTCTGCTTGCTGTTGGGAGGAATTGTCTCCACCCTCTTTCTTTTCTCTCGTGCACTTAAAGCAGAGACCAATATGACTTGACAGCTGCTCTGTGACATGTTTATTCACTTCAGATCAAAGACCCTGCAAAGCAAAAAAGTCTGTGAGACACCTCATCGAAAAATCTAAAAAAAACAGCTGTCAGTGTGTTCCCTCGTTGAGCTTCCTTCGTTGAAAAAATCATGTTTTGAATGAATACAGTAACCAAAGAGGGAATAACTTCTTCATGCGGATTACGGCAAAAAGTCTGTGAGACTCCTCATCGAAAAATCCGAAAAAAAAGCAGCTGTCAACATATTCACTCCTTCCTTCTTTGAAAAACCAAGGTTAAGTGAGAGAAATAACAGGCATCTGTAGAGACCAGTAGCGATGCTTATGGGGTTTGGGTACATACCCACTTTGTTGTGCTCTGTGAAACGGTCAGTCTCGGGAATGATGGTGTGGCCAACAAAGTCTAGACTTCTAAGATAGCTAGTAAAATCTGGATTTGTGAGCTTCATGACAGAAGTTGGATCCTGTCGATCTTTGTTTTCAAATCCGTCAACAAAACAGGAATGAGTGCAGGATCTTATACATCTTAACGAAGTTGACTTCTAACCTCAGTGGTTTGATACCTCTTTCCGAGCGAGGAAAACGGCGAAAATAGTAAAACCGGAAAAGACGAACAAGATAAAAAAGTGATAATGGGCACAATTTGACAGGCTTCACTTCCTTTGACACTCATAACTTGACTACAATTCATTCAGTCAACGCTAATGAATTTTTAGTCAAGACAAAAGTAAATTCCCGTATCCCGCTTTTTTTTCCTTGCGATTCCCGAATCCCATCCCCATAAAAATAGGAAATCCCGCTCCCGCTGGTTGTTAAAACTCCCGCATCCCGCTTCTGTTTTCAGCTCATATCCCGAATATCACCACGAAAAATAGCCAAATCCCGCATCCCACCAAACCTATTGTGGACCCTCTGAATGCACGTTGCCCAGAGGACAGGCGGCATCGTGGGATGTGGAGCAGATTACATGATCTTGTTACCCTACTGTGAATAGGGTGTTACGAAAACGAAGACCCTCGAAAACGAAGACCCTGTAAACAGAAAACCGTAGAAATTACAACTTAAACACACATTAAACAACAACAACGCTTAGTAATATAATACATTACACTTCACGCGTTTCTTCCCATCATTATACTACCCGTATTATTATACGNTTAGAAATGTTGGCAAACTTGTTTCACTCTTCTATCCCTCTTCAAAAATTATCACTAAAAGGTGTCGATCATTCAGTTGAGAACCTATGGAAGTGCACTGAAAACATAATCAAAGGGCTTTATCAGCGGCTTATTCTTGCACTTACTGACATACGCATCAGTGTCAACGATTGCGCTTACAACCGTCAATCGTATATAATAATAATAATAATAATAACGGTTTAATATCAGTACATCCATGGTATGGCTCTTCGCCTGATGTAAGAGTAAATTAAGGGGAAAATAAATAAAAATACATAAATCTGAATTATGAATTTTTAAAAAAGCTAGGTGATAAACAGTAAAGTGTAATTAAACAATATATACATTATTTAAAACTAGTCAAGAAATTATTCCGCTTGAATTATTCCGGCAGCGCTCCCTTAAAATATATAATGTTTTCTTAATGAAGGATTTCAAATCATCACAGCATTTAACCTTGGATGGCAGAGTATTGAAGAGGGCTGCTGCGCTATACTGAAAAGTGTCCGAGAAATAGGGAATAAATATAGATCTATGGTCCTTGATAACCGTAAATTTCTAGCATGTCTTACTTGCTCAAGCTGAAGGTTTCTGGGCCAATCATAGAGTATATAGCTTTGTGCGCGGCCTTTAGAACGTGCCATTCTCTCCGTTCTCACATAGGCAGGCAGCCTAACTTAAGAATAGAATCAATATTGTTCACATAGCGTCCTAAAACAAAATTGGCTGCAGCAAACTGGATGCGCTGTAACTTTTTTATAAGGCAATCAGTAATTGGATCGAATATATTATCATTAAAGTCTAGGCGAGATAGGACCAGAGATTTAACGAAATTTTTTCTAAGATGGTATTTTGTAAAGTTCTTGATTTCCCTCAGCACAGCTAGGACACCATAACAAGATGAGGCAAGATGCTTGACATGATTATCCCCCTTCAAGGTGTCAATCATGTGAACCCCAAGTAATTTAACAGAGTGAACACGCTCGAGGGGTTTATCTCCTACAGATAAATGTATAGCACGTTCAGCAAGAGAATGGTATGACAACATCTGAGGAGTTAAGAACAACATACACTTAGTCTTTGCAGGGTTCAGCGCCAAGTTGGAGTCCTGGGACCAGTTTGTGATACTTAGAAGAGTCTCATTCGCGTCCACAGCTCTTGAACGTAACTCCTTGACATTACAATGGCTGTACAGTGAGGTGTCGTCCGCATACTGGACACATTCCATCAATGGTGGAGTGACCTTGTGTAGATCTGATACATATAAGTTAAAAATCATCGGTCCCTGGATGAACCCCTGTGGAACGCCATACTGAGATGACTGGAATGAGGACTTCTTATCGTCGATCTGCACGAACTGGGAGCGGCCAGATAGATAGCTCAAGAGCCACTTAAGAAAGGGTTTTGAGAAACAGAGCTTGTAGAATATTATACTGCGTTTTAAAGCCTCACAAGCACAAAATGATATTCAGTCCCCGCCGCTCAGTGATATACATGGATGTGGACAAAATCTGGCCTAGGCCATGGCCTACCCTGTGGCCTAACCTATGGCCTACCGGTGCTCAGATTTTTAAAAGGATGGCATTGCTGGAAACCTTTCAACGTTTTCCTGAGTACTGTCTTACCAACGAGTTTCTTCTGCTGTTTTGGCGGCCACATTCAGATCAAAATTTCTTAACCTTCTGATAGAATAAGGAGATCGAGGAACGGAAGCCGGTTAAAAGCAGCTTTTGGGCAAACATCATTATATCAGCTCTCTTTTTAAATTAGTGCAATACTGGCCATTTCTTTGGAAAAGCAAGTAGAGTTTGCGAAATGTTTACGACGGCGATGCGTGCGTGTCCCGGGGTGCTCGTTGCAAATTCAATACTCTACAGCACTTCAGGGCACTTAAAAAATTGGCCTGGCACGTACTGTTTGCATTTTCTTATCTGGATATGTATGCTCTCCAATATAACGCCGTTCATTACATTTTTACACCGGCACTCCACTTTATGTTACCAACTGACAGCCTGCATCATGAAGCCGCCATTTTGTTTATCCTCTGCGACCACGCAATATTGGCCCCTCCTCTCCCCTCCCCCTTAACCTACCGTTATGGTTGAGTGCTGTGATATTTGCAGTGTTTCGTTCCCTCGGACGTTGAAAATCGTGTTAGCGACCTCTTAGTATACCCTTTTCAGAGACAGATAATTGTACACCAGCGTATTCGTTCGACTCTTACTGATTTTATTTTTATGTTCTTAAAAATCTGACCACCGGTAGGCCATAGGGTAGGCCA